TTTAGTGTTCAAATCATTTCTTGATGATGAGGTGTAGTCAATCCATCAGATGATGGACACAATAATGACAGTGGCTACTTTAAGGGCAGTGATTTTAAAAAATAATCAATGAGTAAGCATATGTGTATTTCGTTTGCTATAAGACGTTACTGCCCACAGATCGCCTATAATAAAAAATTTTTCAACTGCTGAGGGTTAATATATATATATCCTTTTTTATAAAAGTAACATATCAATACTCAGTAGAAAACTGCAATAAATTGTTCTTTATTGTATAACTGTTCCTTTCTATATATATATATGTTTCACAGCCTCTACTAATTATATGTACATATTTGTAATTTCTAATTAAATGTAATTGTTTATAAATTTCATCTATTTGAACATGATTGTGTTTCAGTTTAAAGAAATAAATAGAGCACATGCCATATTAACAGATCTAACTAAGAGAAATATATATGATAATTATGGATCTCTTGGGTTATACGTTGCTGAACAATTTGGTGAAGAAAATGTCAATGCTTACTTTGCTTTTACTTCTGGTTGGTGCAAGGTAAGGTTTTGCTAATTTCTGAGCGTTTTATCAGTTAAATATCAATTTCACATTAGTTTCATTATGAAATTTAATAAAAATTTATTATTAGTTTTAGAATTGATAATAAATTAATTTTTTATTTATTTTATTTATTCAAACTTTTATATTGTATTTTTATTTTCTTAACTGTGAAATTAGTAAATACTTAATATTGGTATCATATAGTTAAGAAATTTAAATACTATGATTATAATATTAATTAATATAAAAATAATTTATTGTTTACAGGCACTCTGCATATTTTGTAGTTTGATAACTGCATGTTATTGCTGTTGTTGTTGCTGTTTTTGTTGCAACTTCTGCTGTGGCAAATTTAAGCCAACACCACCGGAAGATAGTGGAGCATACCACAATTTACAGGTAACATTCTTATTTATTTTTCTATTTTTAAAATATCTTGTGATATGAAGAGTTGTACATATTATTATTATTCATAATAATTTATTAATTGTAATAATAAATTGTAATTGATATTAAATATTAAATATTTTATTATTACAATTAGTTTATTAAATATTATTTCATATTTACTGTGAATATATGATTAAAAAGAAGAAACTTTTTACAATGAAATATATTCATCATTATTGATAAATTAAGAGAGATATTTTTAATTATACTTATAAATATAATTGACTATACTTTTTTTAGTATTATAAATTACTGCTTATTAATTATTTAAGATTAATTAAATCAGTATTTATAATTAAGATTATATTTTCAATAAAAATATTTCTAATGGTTTTATGTAAATACAATGAAATTAGCTCAACAGAAATGCATATAAAAATTTAAAGACTATGATATTTATAAAACTATATATGAAACATTTATTAGTCAAAAAATTAGTTAAGAAATGTAATTAGTAGATTATTGAAAAATTTTAATATTAATGTTCTTAACGAAATTGATGCTTTTAATAAAATTAATGTTATAGTTTTCTTAAGTAATTTAATTTATAAATATATTTTTTTTATATTTAAATTATTAAATTAAAAATTATACTAAAAATATTAACATATGATATTTAATAAATGTAGTCAGAATCATATCATTTAATATATATTTATAAAAAAATAATGAAAAATTACATGGTTATCAACTATTTCAAAGAAAATAAATCTTTATTAATTGGATGTTATCTCCGACAGAATGACATTGAAATTTTATTATATAAGTCATATGTTACATGAAAGCTGACTAATCCAAGTAAGAGTTTGACATGAAGATAGATTATGTATGAAGTGCTAGTATCAAAAATATAGGTTAGCATTACTAAGAATACTGATATATATCAACATAAAATATTAGATTTTGCAGAAAATTCTGTTTTGACTTAGTTTTTTTTTGTTTTAATATGTTTTACATTGCATTGCATTACTACGTAAATTTTTAACTCAATTGAAAATCAATAGAAGCAAGTAGAAGTATATTAAGCATTTATAGAAAATGCTTTTTGTGATTGTAAAATATAATCTTGATCTTAAAAATTTTTATCTGAAAATGAAATACTTAAAGATAACTCATATGAAAAATGTTAGTTATGGAACATGAGACATGAACAAAGTTAAAAAATCTAAGAATGTTACAAGTAGTGGCATATGATTATTTTTACACAATTGGAGAAGCACAAAAACACAATAAATGGGTTTAGCATGAACTATTTCTTGATAATGAAAAGACTTGATTATGCAATTTGTTTTGCATTGATTCAGCAGATGTAAAATAATAGTAGCTCAATAATTACTTCTGATAAAAATAGATTCTTCATAATAATATATAGTAATTATATTAATTGTTGTTATCTTATGATTTACCTTGTAAGATTAATTAAATTGAATTGGAAAATTCATTACAGTAGGGATATTGTACCTATATATAATATATAATAAATAAATATATATATTTTTATTTAATCATAATATATACCTATATCTGTTAGTCATTTTTGTCTATTTCTTTCTGTGCTACTGTATCTACCACCATTTTGTCTATATTATATACAATCTTTTTCAGTATTATCATTTCTGTCCTCTTTATTCTCATTTTGCTTTCCCCTGTCTTTTCTCTTTTTATCTATTTTAACTACTACACTGCTTCAGTTCTTCTCTTTTCTGCTAGAACTTTCTCCAAATTCATCTTTGTTATTATCCTCCTTAGCTCTCTGAACTCGTACCTCTAGTGCTCTAAAGTTTTAAGTGAACACTCCCTTTCCTTCCCTCTTGCCCAAAATTTACTTGCATTTTCTAAGCTGCTACATGCCCTGCTTGTTAATGCTCTCTGTCACTTTTCTATTAGTATGAGTAAAAGTCGATGTATTATATCAAAAGTTTTTTTTATTAATATCTCGGAAATTATTAAATTTTCGACGATGGAATTGTAGGCTACGTTTCCCTTCTTTTTCCTTTCATCTAAATTTCATTTTGATTGGTTATCGGGGTCCATTGAAACTACAACCAAAATCGCTACTTTATTATATTATACTAGAAACCCAAGAATTTTTTGTAAGATCTGATATATGCAAACAAATGGTTTGTGAAAATAAATTTTATATAATTTGTATTAAAAGAAAAGTTTAAGAATTATAAATGCTTTTCAGAAATGAAGATTTAGTTTTAAGTATGAAAAAGCTGTAAGAAGAGATTATTTGTTTTTATATTTTTGGAATTATTCTTTCAGAAAAAAACAGTTTTTCAATTTCTTTCTGTTTCAGTATATCTTTCTGGGTTCATTTTAATAAAC